TTCATCTAAATGTTATGCAATCATAATATTACTGCAGAAGACCAAAGTCAAAGAACGCGATGACGAACCAGATTTATTGAGCGGTCCTCTTAACCTGCCAGACTCTTGGCTGTTGAGTTTCACAAAAAAAATAATAAATCACCGGACGCTCTAGTCCATGAGACCCCCACCCCACAAACTACAGGACACAAAGGATTCTTGGGTAATGTTCTGGTTTTTGATGCCACAGTTTACCCACTTTTCTCTTACTGGTTTGAGCTCTTTCACTAATTGTGATATAGTTTTATCTTATTTTGGCTACTTATTGCATCACACTGCCTTCATGGTTGTACATAAATGCACATTGGTAGTGTGTTGATTTGACTATGGTTATGTTAGATTATATCTTTATCACACTTTTTTTTAAACAATACAAACAATTTGTGTGCTGATGGGAGTTTAAAATATCTGGAATATAAATGTGGTGCATTTAATACAAACTGTCAGCAACGACTGTGGCTGAGTGGTTAGAGCAGTCGTCCTCCAGTTCAAGAGTTGGAGGTTCAATTCCACCTTCAGTCACATGCCCAAGTGTCCCTGGGCAAGACACTGAACCCCTCATTGCCTCTGATATGAATGTGATAAAGAACTGATTATTCTTTGTATAGATCCAGTAGAGTGCTGTTTGAATGGGTAAATGAGGACACAGATTGTAAAGTAAAGTGCTTTGAGTATCTTGATAAGATGGAAAACCACTATATAAGTACAGTTCATTTACCATTATAATCAGTAAGTATTGTGATTTAATTTCATCATAGTTTTACATTCAAATATTTGTTGATTTTAATGTTTTGCATCTAATTTATGTATTTTATTAAGCGTCTTTTCAATAATTTGACAATTAATCAGGAACGTTTACAAAGTACTCCATTAATAAACTAGTAAGTTTAATAAAGATGAGGAAAAAAACTTGTTTGTTGTCCAAATTTTTCATTTTTAAGGTGTGTGTTGTTGCTAACTCATATCACATTCTGTCAGCCATAAATTTACAGTTATGAATGATACATTTTACAGTTTTTGTATTGTGTAATAATCTCATACTCAGAGTATCTCGAGTAACACGGTTGAACGCCTTCTCCTAGTCTACAAAACACATGTAGACTGGATGAAAAAACTTCCATGACCCCACGAGGACCCTAGTGAGGGTAAAGAGCTGGACCAGTGTAAAAACGGCCAGGACAGAACCCGCAATGTGTAATGCAGTGTAATAATCTTGAATAACTTAAAATGTTATCTAAATCCACATTTGAGATCAGAGGCTTTAGAAAGCTGTAAATGAGACTGGTTTAGAATGCAGAGCATGTATTTATTTATTTATTTATAATTTTTTTTATGGTGAGCCTGTCCAAACCTTTTGTGTCTGATGTATTTTGCTGCATGCAGAGTCATCCGCACAGGTTGTGGAAGTCAGGTGATTCCCTGGAGTAGCTCTATGAGGCATTTTGAGTTAATCTCGTATTCTCGGCCAACTTCATCCGTCCACGCAGCTGGCTGCCTCTAGGGGGTTACATTCTCTGCTTTATGGAAACGCACAGAAGGGCGGAGAGGCATTTTCCGAGAGTTTTCAGGATCAATCACACACAAAAACACACATAATTGGTCATATGTGTATGACTAATGCATAATTTATCAGCGTGTAAGTTATTACCTTCTTCACAACAACACGCACATGAATCATAATAATTTCATGCTGCAGTGATCTTCAGAGAAAACTCACCTAATATTCAGTCAACTGATTGGCCTTGCACACAATCATTATGAACTAAAGAGGCATTATTTGCATGTGTGTGTGTGTGTGTGTGCAGAGAATAATGTATCTGCTCTGCTGTTATTAAGTTGAAACACAAATCTTAGAAGATTTTTTTTTATCAATTCTCAACATGTCATTTTTAAGATGACATCTATTTTACTTTAAAATGACTAATTTGAAATCCAAACCCGTCAGTGTGCAGAGGAATGACTATTTAAAAAGCTGTACATACAGACCTTTTCTTTGCTGTTAATTAATTTTAATTGGATCCACAGAGACATGAGACAACCGGCTTTCAAACAGAACGTCACTTTTCTCACTAACGTCATGTTCATCAGACTCCTCCAACTTGAAGATTTTCAATTTATAACAGAATCTTTTCAATTAAGCTTATTTTCAGTAACAAGGAGGTTTTTTTTTATTTTCCTCAAAATAATATTTTTACTGTTTCAGATTTGGGACCAGCTTCACCGCCAGCAACAATACAGAATGACCACCTTTATAGTTTTTTAGAACGTTTTTTTTTTTTTTTCCCCAGTACATATTTACAATGTATCACATTTGAAGATTTAAGATATGAATTTCCATTCTTGTTCAGAAATTCACTTTGCAGTTTCTCCATGAAAATCCATGTCCGTTTCAGTTCAGTTCATGACTCACAAAATAAAATAAAAAATGGTTCTAAAAGGGAGTGGTGGTGCAAAGGTTGGAGAAGGTGGGTCTGTGAAAGGAAATGTGGGTGGGAAAGGTGAAGCACCCACACCTGCCTCCACCCTCGTTTACCTCACTCTGGACCCTTGAGCAAGGCTCTTAACCCCCACCATCTGCTCCCCTGGGCGCCCTAGATAGCAGCTCTCTGCTCCACACAGAGGGCTGTGGTAGCTCAAGAAGGGCGTCCAGCATAAAAATAATTGTCAAGTCTTCTTGTAACAGTTCGCTGTGAGCAGCCGAAAGACGAAAAAAAAATACTATTCACTTTTTTTCTCGTTTTTTTGGTCATGAAAACTTGAACTCAATCTGCAAATGATAATAACGAGTCTATCATTTTGGGTCTTTTTTTTATAACTAAACACATTATTATTATTAATAATAATTATTATTATAATTATAAGTTATGTATTGTCATCATTGTATATTCCCCTACAATGGCTAAATTGGCTATCTGCATTTAACCCATCCACCCCCAGGTGGAGCAGTGGGCAACAATTTGAAGCACCCAGGGAGCAATTGGGGATAGGGTGTCCTGCTCAGAGACACCACGAGATGTGCAATGGCTGGGGATCGAGCCTGGGACTTTTGGGTCCCGGGTTGGCTGCCTTGCCTCTACCCCATCATCCTTCTCTGAAAAATGTTTTTAGCGAACGGTGTAACTTGTTCTTTTCTGCTCATCATAGGGATGTCCCAAGTCAAGTATCAGATCATGGTCCTGATCAAGGCCCTTTTCATTGGTCGGCATCGGAGTAGCTGCAACACTCAGCTCCAGATCTCTGTTGTTTCTATTTATGGTTATCCATCAGCTTCACCCGAGGTGTAAAGCGTTGTGACGTAACAATGTTCACTCAGGTCATCTGAACGGTTTCTTTTTTGTATATTGAGACGTTTCGTCCTCCATCCAAAGGACTTCTTCAATCTGTGGAGCCACCAACAAATTGAGTCCCACAAACAGCTCGCTCCCATAATGAACAAAAAAACAAAAGTTTGCTGGTGATAAGATGGCCTCCGGGGGCCGCCCTCTCCTGTCAACTCCTCTGAGGCAGCCATGCCAAAGTGGTTCAGCAAAAAAAGAAACCGTCCAGATGACCTGACTGAACATTGTTGGATTTTTACCTGGATTATTAACTTTGGTACTGTGACGTAACATGCCAACATATGGAAGTATTTTAAAATTATAAACGAATGCAGTCTGTATACTTGAATCATTCAGTATATAATTTGGGCATAAAATCAAAATTAGACATAAAAACCAAACACTTGAAGTTCATCCAGCTAACTCTTAAAGCTCCGCCAGCAACTTACTAGAATGGAGTCAAGTTTCCAGCAGTAAAACAAAAAGGGATCACAGAACAGATGACTGATACCCAAACGATTGCTCCATTGGAGAAAAAAGTTTATTTTTTGATGCCAAAGCCACGTACATCCTTCCATCCCGACACTACATAACTATCACAGGGCTGTTTAAAACGGGTCACCATCACCTGCGGGGTATCTTAGAAGATGCACTATTGGCTCCATCACCTCATGAGTATTTGCCTGATGCCACATCTTAGCCTGTTGGTCAGAGTCATCAGTTGATCATCAAAGATATTGCGCTGCATGCACAAAAACCTTAACCATTTTTAAAATGTACTTTTCCTTTTTGTACCGTATGCGCAAGCGGGGGAAAAAATACGAGGACTTTTCTTCCCTGTTTCACTCTGCTAGTCTGTGCTGTAAAAACATACAAGTACAACTTTGACTGGTGATGGGGACAAAAAAAAATCTGGTTTGGGACATCCCTTGAGTGTATTGCATGTCATGATCAATTATAAAAACAAAACAATGAAAAAACAGTTTGCTGGTTTATGGAAATTGATTTAACCCAAATAAATTAAATTCATTGTTTTCCCATTAGGACAGAATTTTTGTATGGATCGTTATTTGGTATTTGGATGAGTAAACTATAAATTAATCTCTTGGGATAAAGTATAAGTACAATGACTATTGCATGTACTATATAATAACCTGAATATCTTTACCTGTTTCTCTCCACTCACATTTTTAGAAACATGTTTAAAAGCAGATAGAAGCACGATGTTAGTAGAAAACTATAGTCAAGCCTTGAAGAAATGGATTTAATGCAAAACAGAAACCATGTAAAATCTGTAATATATTAATCTTTTGGCAATGGTTATTTTAAACCACATTTATTTAAGCATAACACATTTTTTTTTAGATGAAAGCACCCATCATCATTGAGGCTGCTGCAGATTGGCTAACATTTACTCTCAACATCAGGCGCGTCAATTCATTCGTCGGTCCTGCTGTTCTGTAACCTCCGAAGACAAAAGATGAAGAGTCATGCATGCTGTAGTTCTGTCTCATAAAACCAATAAGTACCATAAATGAGCACCCACTGCTGCAAACAGACACACAACCCAAGCATTTCACAGGTTTGGCGATGATTTTGTCAGTCCACTTTATAATACACATCCAGCACTCTTCCTCTGGAAAACCAATGAAGCTGGTTCTTAATATTCTTGGAATCATTCCTAAAATTTCAAGTCTCCTAAAACAAAGAAATATCATTTTGAACATGATGGCTGTATTGCTGATGTGCGGTTTAAGCTGATCTTTAAATGTTGCAGTGCATTGTGATGAAGAGTCCATTCAGATGATGGTCTCCTCTCCTTCCTGCACGTACGAGCGGTACTGGACACGTTCCTCCATACAGAGATCCTCTGCCGCAGTGCTGCCTCGTTGAGGTCGTAAAGAGAACTGCAGGGTGTGTCTGTTCTTGGCAGCGCAGCCTTTCTCCGTTCCATTGCTGTACAGGACCACCAGTCTGCGGTTCTCTTTGGGGGTGGCAGAGCAGGACGGGTGGCAGTGGGCTTTGTTGAGGCGAGGTGAGTCACTGCTTGCGTCGCTCGCGTTGTTGTCATGGATGTCAGGTAGATTGCCGGTGGTGACGCTGCCGCTCTTAATGTGGGGCGTGTGGCTGTGGGTGTGGCGGTACTCCTCGTCGATGTCCTTTCCCAGTTTCCACCGCTTCCACTTTTTCAGCATCTCAGACTGCACCTGAGACGATGAACGAAAAGCAACAGGAAAACAGATCACAGTGATGAACACTAAACACGACTTAAAGCACTTTAATAATGGAGGAGTGTTGCCATGGACTGAATGTATCAGGCTCTGTGTTTTTTGTTGGTTATTCACCATCTTTGGTTTTGATGAAAGGGTTTTAATTATTGTGTTCAGTTTACCCTATGATGGACTTGCGACCTGTCCAGGGTGTCCCCCGCCTCTCGCACAGTAATAGCTGGGTATGGACACCAGTGACCCAAAAATGAAGAAGAGCATAAAAGATAACGGATGGATGTTTACTACAACCCACCTGTGTTTACTGTGTTTTTGTTCTGTTCCTGTAATTTCTGCTTTTCTGTTTCGACCCCTGCCCCACCCACTCACACCTCACCCTTGCTGTCTCTGTACATGTGTTTGTTACTTAAGTTCAATATTTTGTTTGTTTTTTTGTATTTTTACTTAGTTTGGCATTACCATATTTTTCCACTGTATAAGTCACACCTTTTTGCATAAATTAGCATGCCCTGCGACTTATACAGTGAAGTGACATATTGATGTTTTTTCCCATATTTATAACCCAATTTTTGGCTGAGATCTGATGATTTCATTCATTCTGACATGGAAAATATTGAACACTACCATTTTCAGCCGCTAGAGGGCGCTTGAGCAATATGGCAAGCCAAGTGTCTCAATAAAGGTAGAAGTGGCTATTAATGAGACACTTGGCTTGCCATACAGAGCAACTTTTGTTTTGCTCTGGAACTCCTGGAGCAAACGGCAAATCAGATGCATTTCGCCGCACTGCCCAGACGAAATGCATCTGATTTGACCATTAAAGTGCATTTATTAAGGAAAAGTTCAACTGAGACACACCTTTACTATAATGTCGAACAAACAAATAATTGTTTTTAAGTGTTAACCTTGTTAAATACTTGGAAAAGTCCTCCCGTGCACGCTCCCGCAGCTGCCATTTGGCAGCGAATTGATTTTTGGCACAACACTGGCCCACATTTCCAGATGATCAGCGGTGACGCATAATAGATATGGCGAAGCGATGTATTTATGTTTTTTTTCCACGTTATTACACATATTTGGACTGATGCAACTTATACAGCGGTGCGACATGTACAGCAAAAAGTACGGTACTCATTCAATTAGCCAGTCTTGCTCCACCCTTGTGTTGTTTCTCAACTAGTTTTGCAATTGGTTTTGCTTCTACATTAGCGTGTTCATTTAGCTGTAAACTGAATTGCCCTTTTTTATTTTTTTGAAGGTTTGCATTTGAATCTGTCTGCACCCTGGATTAAACCATGACATCATGAAAGAGTTAAATGTCACAGATGGCTATTGTTGTGTTTGTCCGAGATCAAAGCTCAAAAAGGGAAATAAAAGAAACATGTTGGCAAAAAAAATCTTAAATGTCAAAATCCATCCTGCGACGAACGTCAAGATTACATTTACTGTTTGGCACAAAAGCAAAACAAACTCACCTCTTTGTTGACAAAGCAGTACAAGATGGCAACGAGTAGGCCCTAAAATGAAAGTTGTATATTGAAGTTAAAAAAAGTTTCATCAACTTTGACAAATATCTAGATGTTAGCACAATAAAACACATAACGGTATTGATCATTTTACAGAAGCAACAGCGTTTTGGTCATTTTTTAGAGTTTTTTTTTTTTTTTACGGTTTCATTCAAACGCCTCTGGAGAAAGTGCCTCAAAAAGCCACCATGACTGAATATTTTACTGAAATTATTCATCAGATAAGTTTAGTTTATCAAAGTAGTTATGCTGTGCCTTACGAAGCTACAATATTTTTTTTACAAAATGTCATATTGTCATTACAACTGTGCACAAACTGCACTAATGATATTGAAAACACCAGCAGTGGAGGAAAGCAGATGAATTAGTCATTTTCTGCATTTTCTTGAATCAGTGCGAGTTTAATAATTACATTTTTCTGATCAATTGATGGAACAAAAATGTTTTATTCACCTAAGGACAGTTTCATTGTTTAGTCACATGACACTGCCACACAAATCTGCAAGTCCTCATTTACTTTTCTCATCTATTGTTGTTGTATAATAAATAGTACTTCTACTGCTAATAAAAAATATCATATAGTGCATTGTGCTATCACCGTGGAAATAAAATAATAAAAACACTGCAGTAAAATTGCTGTTAGCGTACAGAACATTTTCTTTCATTCATGTGCATCAGATTGTCTGACAATGACTGCTTACCACTAATCAATGTAGGTAAAATTAAATACAATTTGCTAAATTAAATTTGCTTGTGTCTTGGTGTCTAATAATAATGTTTCCATATTTATATTATATTGTTCATCCAGCTTCATTATAGTCCAGTCTAGACTTTAAGAATTTTGAGAAGTGAGATTTTCTGCTGCTTCTATAATATTTTTCTTTTTTTGAATGTGGAAAATTGAGACATTTTAAAAAACGAGTTTCAAAGTAAGGGTAAAAACATTCTTTATTCAATGTCTCCGTGTAGACGGGGGATACAGAGCTTATCAGAAACAGTACCGTTCACACATCTGCTCTATTAGTCATGCCCTCGAAACAACTACAACAATGGAGCAGTGTTTCCTTTTTGTCTATGCCTGTCTTGATTTATTCTAATATTGACAACATTAAATTAACCACGTGCTGTAAACTATTGATTATTTAAATTGTAATTGTAATTGCGGATATTCTTGCCAACTAGTGGTGCAGGACTGATTGTATTTAAATGTTTTTTGTATAATCTTTTGGAATTATTTTTCTTAAATAAAAGCCAAAAAAAAATAATATATGGTAGTGTAAAAAAAAAAAAAAAGAATCAACAATTAAACTGTGTAGTTTGTGTACAGGAAGTGATCAAGTCAAGTCAAATTAATTTATAAAGCACATTTAAGACGACACCTGTTACCAAAGTGCTTAACAATAAGATCAAGGCAGTAATTTAAAAAAAAAGAAGAAGAAGTAATTAATAGCACCAAAAATATAAACATAAAAACACAAAAACAATGACAAACGAAATGACTTATTCCTTGAAATTCCTAATTTTCCAGCGTCTAGACAGTTCTATGTTTTAGAACTAGACATTTAGTTTTCCTTGTGCAGTGAGGTGAATCACTCATTGCAGGACATATGTGTATATTTAAAAGGAGGCGTGTCAGGGGAGGTGTCTCATGTGTGCTCAGCTCCATGTTTGTCAGGATGTATGAGAGAAAGGAGCACAGAATCATGCTTGTGCATGGTTTAATGAATCTCAGATTTTCTTAGCATCATTTTTCCAACTTGGTCCCTACGCCATCTTTCATTATGATAGCAGTGCAATTATAAGATGTTTGATTTACATCTGAAGCTTTACTTGAAGCTGGATTCCAAAGAAGCAGCTAAATGATCAAGAAAAAATATAAATGCATATTTGTGAAGGTTTCTTATGACATTGAGCTCAGACCTGGAAGGAGTTGAATAGGAGGTCACAGAAGAGGCGAATGAGGCGAAGCATCGAGCCTTTAGGGACAGACTCATCAATGACGAAGGTGAAGAGGATGGCATGAATGCCGAGCAGAGGGATGAGAGTCAGCGTGGACTTTGCCAGTCTGGATCAGAGGAGAAAAAAGTAAAAAGTTTCAAAATGATAATAAAATTAAAAAAAGTCAGTCACTGAATACAAATATATACTGCCATACTTTATTCTTTAGATCCAATATCTGATCTATCAGCAGTGCAGCGTGTGAGACATTTTATATAACAAGAAATAAACTGCACACAAACACACAGCATGAGAAGCAACACAAGTTAGATGAATCAAAAGGTGTTTACATTTATTTCTTAATCGTTCATAAAAAAAAAACCAAAACACTTCGTACGATCTCCATGGCCACTTTTCTACACATCACTGGTTCCCCTCACCTGAATTTGTAGTCGGTGTATCTCATCTGATGAGCTCTGAGCTTAGACATCAAGATTTTAATTATCCTGATGAAGATGAAGAAGTTAATCTGGAAATAAAAGGAGAAAGACTTGTATTTAGAAAAACTAGAAAGTCCCTGGAGAAACTTTGATGGAGACTGCCACGTGGCAGCCATTTTAAAACTTTGATTGACAGTAATGTGTGTTGGGTTATCCCTCAGCTACCACTATACCAAGTTTCAGCTTAAAATAGCAAAATATCAATGAAGTTGATCTTTTTTTTCTTTTAAACTATGGTGGCCATCTTGAATTTGTTTTGATTCATTGTTATATTCATTATGTTTTATATTCATTATTAGGGAAGTGGTGGAGCAGAGATTAGAGAAGATGGGCCTGTGATTGGAAAGTCGCAGGTTCATCAACACAGACAACATCAAAATGTGGGTGGAAAAGGTAAAACACCCACACCTGCCTCCACCCTCATTTACCTCTGGGCCCTTGAACAAGGTCCTTAACCCCTATCGTCTCCTCCCAAACAGGTCTCTCTTGAAAATGTGTTCTCATGACTCAATGAGACCAATGTATGTATGTATGTATGTATGTATGTATGTATGTATGTATGTATGTATGTATGTATGTATGTATGTATGTATGTATGTATGTATGTATGTATGTATGTATGTATGTTTGTATGTATGTTTGTATGTATGTATGTATATATGTATGCATGTATGTATGTATGTATGTATGTATGTATGTATGTATGTATGTATGTATGTATGTATGTATATAAGTGGCAGATTTACATTATTTTTCCTTTTTAGCTCAGGTGGCCATCTTGGATATTTGATTTGCAACCCAAGACTATGAAAAAAACCTAATAAAAATGGCATCTTTGTTTGCAAATTACGTTGTATTTTATAATTGTAACTTGAAATGCCAATAAAAGTCATGACACACATCATGGTGCCAAGCCAGTCATTTTGATACAACTTTTGTGGAAGAACACTTTGTGGTTCAGACCACATTAAAGTTGATGGAAGAATAAGATATAAAGTTAAGAAACCCTTGTCAGGTGGATAATAATAGGTGGTTACCTTATAGGAAGTCCCCAATTAAGGCTAATTTGTGGGTTCTAATACATCCAAAACCAAGTAGTACAAGTACTCTTTACCCCCCCCCCCCCCCCCCCCACACACACACACACACACACACAGAGCATGATCTAATACAGACCCCTCTCAGATGACAGCACATATTATTCATTACAGCACTCAGGTTATTGGAGCTCCATGTTTGGTCAAGTGTAAATGTTGTCATCACAGATGTGTTGGTGTGAATGGGAGTGTTTGGACTCACTCACACACAGTAAGCTTCCTAATCGAGTTAGAATTATTGTTAGCTCACGTAAGACTTCAAGTCTGTTTAGAATTGTGTAACAATTGTGTTTTTGCGATTAAAGTGAAAGGTTATTTCCATGCAGACTGCACAAGTTACACCCCTGAGGAAATGTATGCATATTGCTGGACGTAGGCATGCATTTCCATATTTGTGTGTGCATACATGTGTGCTTTTGAATAAGGTGGAAAAGGTTCTGCAGTTAATGTGCACTTCTGATTTTTAAGCATATTCATCTTTAATGTTTGTCTCGACAGAAACAAGCAAAAAAAATATCCAGGAAGAAATTCCTCAGCTCACTTTGGCTGTGACTGAAACGTTTGAACTAACACAACGTGGCCACCGTTTAATAGGACAGCCTGGTGTTTTGGTGCACCGCCACGTTCTACATGTGCACCGAATGTTCACAGTCAGGTGTTGCATAAACAAATCTAACAAAATATGATGGAATACATGCATGAATGTGAGAACATGCACCACATAATGTAACTGGTTCTTTGCTAAGAAAATTCAACTGTCATCATCTGTCTCCAAATAGCTGACAAAATGTATTTACACGTAACTGTTGCACATTTGGTTGCACTGTATATTTTTTACACAACTGTAGCTGCAACAACACTGGAACATTCAATATTATAGATTCATATAACTAATTATTTCTGCACAGAACAGCTGGTCTAAGAGTTGTAGTGTTTGATTGCAAATAAATAAAACAAGCCACACCACATTATACTGTTTGAAAAGCTGCTTCATATAATTGCTTAAAACTGATTCACATTTAGACTTTTATAGTTTAGAACTACTTTTTTGACAATAAAGCCAATATAAAATGCTGTATTTAATGTTATGTTGAGCATTTTAAAGGTAAATTGTGTTCATATTTTGCAAACTGGGAGTAAGAAAGGAACATCGACCCAAACGTAACTGCAGAGTAAACTTTTTGTTCCTTCTGTAATGACAAGGAACAACATTTTGAAATCAGATTGTAGAAAGATGCAGCACGGTGGCACAGTTGGTAGAGCTGCCACCTCTCAGCTAGAAGGTTGCCCCGGTTCAAATCCCGGCCAGGGGGCTGTAGCAATATTTCTGGGTGGAGTTTTCTCGTTTGTCTCTATGTGGCTCTGTGATGGACTGGAGACCTGTCCAGGGTAGAGGTGCACTCGGGTCCAAATAATCCGAACCGACCCAGCCCCAGCCCGCAGCCATCATCTCCGAACCCCACCCGATCCAACGAATTAACAGTAATTACAGGTCTAAACCTGAAAAAAAACCACAACATTTTTAATTAAGCTTTTATTGCTTATACCACCGACTATTATAGTTGGCAGACGCGTGCGGCTGAGTAAAGGGGGCAGAAGATCAGAGCTGAAGAGCCATCAAAGTGCATTAAATGCTTCCCCTGCTTCTGCCTGTACTGAAACCTGCTCTGACGTGTCGGATCTTTTGGGATCTCACCTGTTTGGGTCGTCGGCCGCGCGCGTCCGCTGAATGCAGCGGCTGAACGAACGTCCATTTGGTCTGATGGATTGTTGGCAGTAATCCATCTGAAGCATAACGGAACTTTTTACGTCTTTCAGCCGGCCGGTCAGCGTGCGGTGAAATGGCCACGTGCGGCAGGCGTTGTATGGCAAGCCATGTTTGCATATAATTGGATCGTCAGCCGCACACATCCCTAGTGCAATAAAAAGCCCGACACCGACCCGGCCCACACATTAAGCACATTATTATGGCCCGGCCCGGACTGAATCTGGGTTGGGCGGGGCCGGGCTCCGGGTTCGGGTTAGAAATGGCTGCTCTAACGTATGGATGTATTTTAGAATGAATGTGTCACATAGAGAGGGGACTTCTTCATTTGAAGGAATGTTTGTATAATTGTATAGTTTTAATTCACATTTTTGTAGGAATTCCCCCCCCCCCCCCCCCCCCCTATCTCAGACACAGGAGAAGATGAGCCACTTCATGTTAGAGATGTCAAGATAATTATGTGCATTTTCAACAAAATGGAAATATCACAATTGTGAGCTGCATATGCTAGCATTAGCCTAGATTACCCTGCTGTGCCAGCTCAGACTGCAATGCATTATGGTCTCCTGTGCACTATTTTTACTAAACCATATGATGAGTTTATAGGGCATTATATAGTGGATAAAAAAATGACAGTTCAAATTTTGAACATCCATCCATTATCTTTATCTGCTTCCCTTTTGGGTCGAGGAGGTCACTGATGCCCATGTCCAGCCATCACTGTGCAAGAGGCGGGGGACACCCTGGACATGTCTCCAGTCCATTGCAGGGACACATAAGAGACAAACAACCATTCATTCTCTCACTCTCACCTAGGGACAATTTACAGTTACCAATCAGCCAATCAGTTACCAACCCACGCATGCACAAAGAGAACACGCAAACTCCACCCAGAACGGGATTTGAACTGGCGACCTTCTCACTGAGAGGCAACAGCTCTACCAGCTGTGCCACCGTGTCGCTCATTTTGAACATCTCTACAAAAAGTCAGACTCACTACATAGAGCACTTTTTAGAGTGAATGAGTGCACAATCCCAACGCAGCCTATGTGTGTGTTTGCAAAAGTGTGACACAGGAATGCACTGCACCAAACTCTGTATCATGAGTTAGTTGGTTAGCCACATACAGTATGTGTGAATTTATTACCTTTCATATTAGGTTTTTTGAGTTCCGATTTGTTTGACTGTATTTAAGCAGTGAGCCTGTAAAAATCAAAATAGGATTGAACAGCTTTTTGGAGATTTCACCGTTATTTAACCAGGCATGAACACTAAGAACAAACTCTTATTTACAGTGCTGTCCTGGCAAGCACCAACAGATACTTGCAGGGTCAAGGGAGGGGAACTAAGGCAAAACCAGGAAATGTAAAAGTCAATAACAAGCAAAGAAACACAAATGACATTAACAAAAGTTCATTGTCAAATTCAAACAACAACAATGTGCACAACCGTGTAGATTACTGAGGAGCATTGCACCACCAATTCCCTTTGTGGGTCACACAACTGACGGTTTCTTTGTGTTAATGTGAAATTCTACAGACTAGTCTAAAGGTTGTTTTTCACATGTTTTAAATTTTTTTTTTATGTGACACCATTTTTGGCTGTAACACGTCGTAAATAGATTTGAAAAGTCTTTTAAAATACCGAATATTTTCTTTATGGATTTAATCAGAAATGCATTTTTAAGTGTAATTTATGAGAAGATTCTATATTTTAAGCTTTAAGAGAGAACTGGCAATAGGTCCAGTTTGGTTCCTGCTTTAGAATATCAGCACTGGTTCTAAATGTGAAGATGTTGTTTTGCATTGTGGGATTTTATTTCTTTATTGCATGAATATTTATGAAGCATTCACGCTATTGTTCTTCCGTACATTTTTAAGCGAGATTCTCATCCCGCAGTTTTCAAGCTATTTCAACAAATCCTAAATCAAAACGTTCAGCTCTTTCAGGACACTCCTGCTATGACTTTGGTATTGGTGCAACTTTAGCTTTTTGAGATATTTAGCCTTTTCGGCCATTTTTTTTTTTCTCATAGAAAATAAATTGAGCTCATTTTACATCCTTCAGATCTTTAGATCTGTTTGCAAACTTTTACTCTTTCTTTCACTTTTTGTTCTGGTTCAGCTTCGATCAGCTTCCTTATGCAAATTTAAACTTTTTCAGCTACATTCAGCTGTTGTTTTTAGCTGTTTTGTGCTCCTTTCAGATTATTTCAGCTAACCACAGCATTTTTGGCTTATTCTTACTTCTTTCTGCTAATTTCAGCTTGTTATGCTCCTTTCAGCTTATTTCTGCAAGTTTCAGCCTTTTCTACTATTTCAGCTACTATTTAACAGTTTTATGCTAATTTGAACTTTTTCAGATAATTCCACATTTTTTGCACTCATTTCAACTTTTTGCTTTCTAATTCAGCAAAACTGTGCTCTCTCAACTTCCTTCTGGTAATGTATGCTTCTTTCTGCTATTTTAGCTACTTTTCAGCTCTTTATTGCTAAGTTTAGCTATTTTCAGATAATTTCCACTTTTTTGTGCTTATTTCTGCTTCTTTCGGCCTAAGTGGGCAAAAATGTTCTTTCTGCTTTCTTCTGATAATTTAAGCTTGTTCTACCTTTTAAGCTACCTTTATTAGCATTTTTAGTTCATTTCTGCCGTTTTCAGATAAACTTAAGTTTTTAATGGTAATTTCTGCTACTTTAAGCCTGATTAATTTCTTTCTGCTAATTTCAGCTTGTTATGCTCCTTTTAGCCTATTTCTTTTTGTTTCAGTTATTTCTGCTATTTCAGCTACTATTTAGATGTTTTAATGTTAAATTTAGCTTTTTCAGCCAATTCCACATTTCAGCTCTTTCGACTTTATTTAGCTGCTTTCCAAAATTTAGTGCTAATTTCTGCTTATTTAAACCTATTTCAGCAAGTATGCGTTATTCTGCTTTCTTCTGCTTGTTCTTCCATTTCAGCTACTTTGCAGCATGTTTTTTTAGCTAATTTCAGCTATTTCTCAGCAAGTTCTTCTGCAACAAGCATTCACACTGCATTTTCACAGGAAATTAATTTCTCCAGTGTTTTTTTTTTTTGCTGACTGCGTTTCTTAAAAATGAAAACCATTTAATTATATTGTTAAAAAATAGTTTTACAACATTCTTTACCAATAGTTACTTGTAGGCTAAACTTGCAAAGGAAATGAAGTCGAAACAGAGCGACAGATTGACTCGTACTGTCTTACCAGATAAGCAAACAGTATAGGGGAGCGGATAATCCACCAATATCCCATGTTAATATTCCTCTCCCAGCACCTAAACACACACACAGATATTACAATGCAGTTCACTGAGATTCTGCACAGTGAGCGTAAATATATTCATCATCTGAAACGAGAACATCTGTTCCTAAAATATCTTTAATGTCACTCGTACTCACTCTTCGTTCTCGTACAGGTTTTTCACTGTGATCCATGGCAACACAAATATGAGAGGTGCACCTGAAAACAACAGAGGTCTGCGATTATTACCGTGCCATTGGCAGCTCATCCATACCAAAATATAACTCATGTTTGTTCTTGAGCAAGGTTTTATTGCAGTTTTGCAGCAATATACCAGTTTTATTATGATAAAATAACGATTCAAGGCAAAAATATTTTTCACCCATTCAATATCTCTGTCTAATTGTGAGTTTGAACCATTATAAACCTTGTCTCTTTGTCGTTTATGAGGCTAAAATGGCTCAAAAGTATAAGCGGCATGATAATTAGAAGCGATAGCGAGATTTTCAGCTTCTTTATATCAATAATCATTCAAACTGTAACTTATAAATAACAGCTTTAAAACATAATCTGAGCTTTATAGAAATGATCCTACAACAAAATACTAAGTATGTTGTGATCTCCATCCAATAAATCCTAAACAATAACCTATTTATTCTGGGATTTTCAGTGCTTTTTATATTCTGTGAACGTAAAAAGGTCATACTTAATTTTACTTTGTATCAGAACCATGTTTAATGGGTCTAGTGCTTTTAATTTGCTGTGCATTTAAACATATAAAATATATAAATATTTGGGTGTATTGAGACCTTTGTTAATAATACATTGAATTTCAGCTGAAAACAAATAAATAAATCTGTTTATGTTTAATCTACTGTACAGAACTAATATAACTATTCAGTTAAACTGGGCAACATAATGTTCTTTGAAAACATAATAACAAACAACTCTGATACCGCCCGTGCTGGAAAATCAAATTATCCAAATGCTCATGCTGGTAGCACCTCGTTAAACCACAGGAACTTATCTAGCACCGAGCTGTGTGAGGGATTAGTTCAGACAGCTCTCTCCAGCCACCACTGGGAGTTACTGGTTGAACAACACTTGTAACGTAAAACCCGTGTCATGCTTGGTGAGTTTGTTTTTTGTTTTTTCCCATTTCTTATAATATCTTTTGATATTCTTCTTAATTTATGTTACTTGCTTGAGTTAAGACTGCTCAAACACCTTTTTGTTAATGAATGTATAAAAATTCTGAGTTTTCTCATAAAGTACCATATTTTTCTTTGTATAAGTTGCAGTTTTTTTGCATAATTTACATGCGCTGTGACTTACAAGCCGAAACGACATCTTTATGGATTTTTCCCATATTCATAAACCATTTTTTTGGCAGAGATATGACCGTTTTCATTCATTCTGGCTGGAAAAAAATGAGCAGTACCATTTTCAGCAGCAGAATAGTAACAAAAATACAGCATGCTGTTGTATCATGTAATATGTAAACATGGCTATAATGACAAATTCAAAAAAGTTCAAGACAAAAACAACTGGACTTTATTTATTATACTTTACTTTATACTTTATTGTTTTTTTTTCTTGAACTTATTTTTTTAATTTACCATGTCCTGATGACTGAGAATCTTCACCAGCTATTAATGACTCAGTCGGCCTGCCATACAATCCCAACCTTCATTTGGCTCATTGCTTGGAACCGTCAAAACAGCTGTACCGCCCCGGCGAAATGCAGCTAATTTGACCATTAAAGTGCATTTATTAAACAAATGATAGAGACAAAGACACACATTTGCTATAATTTCAAGCAAACAAATAATTGACTTTAAGTGTTAATCTTGTTAAATTCTTGTTAAAGTCCTCCTGTACACGCTCCCGCGGTCGCCATTTGGCAGCCCATCAATTTTTTTGGCACAACACTGGTCCACATTTCTGGGTTTGGTCCACATTTTTGGGCTGTCAGCGGTGACGCATAATAGAAGCGAAGTATACAGCGAAGCGACATATTATGGATTTTCCCACTTTATTAGACAAATATGGACTTATGCGACTTATAGGGCGGAGCAACAAGTACGCCAAGAAATAGGGAAACTTGTGACTTCCTCTGTGAGGCCTTTCTTCTGAGAACAGCTGAAATATTTAACATAATCGGAGCTCAGAGCTCGTCATCGTGATACAGATAACAGGAAAGTCTGGGTTTTGGTCACATCACTTTAAATAAGCAGTTTTTGAGCTTAAAGACACTTCCACAAATTAAAGACATAAATTTCAACGAGACATTGTTTGCATTAACGTTAACCCCTTTCAGTAAAAGTTGATTAATTCATCCTGTCCGAATATATTTATACAATAAAAAAGATTGGAAACAAAACAAGTCCCTGACATGACAAAGTGCCTCTGTCCTTGAACTCATTCTGCACTATATCACAACAGACGTTCTATAAATGACAGACGAAGACAGCTACAGTTTAATTTAAACAAACATAGAAGCCAGTCCTGTAAAGTTTCCCTGGTGGATTTCACAGAGCTGGCTATCTGGAATGATGTATTAAATATTAGCAGTGCAGAATTAGTGGTCCGTTAATGTAAGCAAGCTAAAAATATTAAAAGTATAAATAGTTAGTTGTGAGCACTTGTAGGCAGAAGGCTGGTGAAGATAGAGACAGGGCCAAACTGTGTATTTCTCAAAATATACAACCCTGGCAAATTCAATACTAATACTGAATTATAATAAGAGTACCTGAAATGTAAGTTGGGAAGAAATAAAATAAAACAAAAGTTTAGAATCTGTCAACTTGATGAGACAAATTAAAAATCATTCAAATACGTGATCATATGCTGCGTCGACTTCAACTGACACGTGACTGTCACATTAAAGGATAGTGTCCAATTCCCAAAAGACTCTTCAGCTCAAACTAGAGAAGCGGGGAATGAGCTAACAACTTATATCACCACTTATAGGAGTGGCTTTGGCTCAGTGGTTAAAGCAGTCGTCCTCCAAAGAGACAGAGGTTTGATTCCACCAATAAGCAGTCACATGTTCAAGTGTCCCACTGAACCCCCTCTGATGTGTCTCATCAGTGTATGAACACAATCTAAAAGCCCTGATTAGATACTACAGATTGTTTTATCAACATAGTCTTTGTACAGATGTGATAGAGTTTGGTGTGGATGGTTTACAAGGCAATGGTGAGACCAGCTATGTTGTATGGTCTAGAAACAGTGGCATGGACAAAAAGACAGGAGAAAGAACTGGAAGTGGCAGAAATGAAGATGTTGAGGTTCTTCCCAGGAGTAACAAGGATGGATACGATTAGGAATGAGATCATCAGAGGTACAGCACAGGTTGAACAACTGGAGAGGCCAGACTGAGATGGTTTGGACATGTCCAGAGGAAGGACAGTGGGGATATTGGTAGACGGATGTTAGAAATGCAGCTGCCAGGAAAAAGACAAAGAGGAGATATATGGATGCAGTTGAGAGGACATGGAGGTAGCTGGAGTGAGGACAGAGGATGCAAAGGACAGAGTGAGATGGAGGAGGATGACTCGCTGTGGAGACCACTGATGAAGGAAAAGCCAAAAGAAGAAGAGGTAGAGTTTGGTGTGGATGGGTAAATGAGGGCACAGATTGTGTTGCAATGCACTTTGAGTAGCCTGGTTGACTATGTAAGTATAGTCCATCCATCCATCCATCCATCCATCCATCCATCCATCCATCCATCCATCCATCCATCCATCCATCCATCCATCCATCCATCCATCCATCCATCCATC